ACCCCATAGAAAATCTTTGGAGGGAGTTGAAAGTCCATGTTGCCCAGCGACAGCCCCAAAACATCACTGCTCTAGAGGAGATCTGTATGGAGGAATGGGCCAAAATACCAGCAACAGTGTGTGAAAACCTTGTGAAGACTTACAGAAAACGTTTGACCTCTGTCATTGCCAACAACAAAAGTTCATCTCAATACTTTGTTATATACCTATAACAAAGTATTGAGATGAACTTTTGTTATTGACCAAATATTTATTTTCCACCATCATTTGCAAATAAATTCTTTTTAAATCAGACAATGTGATTTTCTGGATTTTGTTTTTCTCATTTTGTCTCTCATAGTTGAGGTATACCTAGGATGAAAATTACAGGCCTCTCATCTTTTTAAGTGGGAGAACTTGCACAATTGGTGGCTGACTAAATACTTTTTTGCCCCACTGTATATCGGCCATTTTACCATACTTACAAACATACATAGTATATCAAGCAATGTATTGTATGGAGAGAATTCACTCGCTCCAATAATTACTATTCATATGATGTCTGTATGAGTTGCATGTTATTGCTGTTTAATTGTACTACCCTGTATATTTTCATATGGACACCAGTAATACGGTAGCTATGTTTCCAAATAAACAAACTATTGTCCATAATGTCATTATAATTCAAATATCTTCCGAATATGCGGCAAGGAAGCACCTCTCTGCCCTGTATTCAAATGCAGTAAAGGGGGTCTGGTTAATGAGAACTCATCAAAATGTCCCTTTATGCAATGCTATATCCCTGAAACACATGGTTAAACATGAACTCTTTGTGTAATGCAGAATCATCTTTACATCTGATTCTCTGTTAGCCGTGTGAGGGTGATGAGGGTCTGTGAGGGATGAGGGTCTGTGGGTGATGAGGGTCTTTGAGGGATGAGGGTCTGTGGGTGATGAGGGTCTGTGAGGGATGAGGGTCTGTGAGGGATGAGGGTGAGGGATGAGGGTCTGTGAGGGATGAGGGTATGTGAGGGTGATGAGGGTCTGAGGGATGAGGGTCTGTGGGTGATGAGGGTCTGTGAGGGATGAGGGTCTGTGAGGGTGATGAGGGTCTGTGGGTGATGAGGGTCTGTGAGGGATGAGGGTCTGTGGGTGATGAGGGTCTGTGGGTGATGAGGGTCTGTGGGTGATGAGGGTCTGAGGGATTCAGTGTTCCTGGAGAAAGCAGACTCCTACTTACGGCTGTCATAGCAGATGTTCCCCAGAGCGCGGCCGGTCTGCAGTAACACCTCCTGGTCTGAGGAGGTCAGCAGCTGAATCAGAGGAGGGATGAGGCCAGCCTCCACACAGGGACCCCGCATGAATTCTGAGGAGGGGAGAGGGGTCACAGGTCAGAATGTTAAACTTGCTCAAGGGAGTAAATAGTGTCAAAATTCTAATTCTTTATAATGCTCAAACTTGCCTTTTTATACTTGGAATGTGTAATAATAACTTGATTCTAAATGTGTAATATGTGTAATGTCGCTTACTAAATACTGTTTTTATTTTTGTCTCGATCATATCTCTTTTCTGTAGCAATGTATATCTCCCCTCTGTGGGACTTAAAAAGAAATTCTGATTCTGAAATTGATCCCGATTACTCCCATGTTTCCTGCAACTTTGATGTTAGCGTGTTCATATAGTGATCACATTGTTCAGAATGATCATTTTCACACTTGAACACCACCTTGTTTCGCATAAATGGAATTGCTCAAATTAAAAAGCTAACATTGTGCTATAAACAAACACTTCCCTATGATCTGAAGAAGACTCAGAAATCAAACATTTAAAATCATTAACAAGTTAGTTCATCATCGTTAAAAATGGAAGTGTTGAAAGGTGGTGATTTAATATCACATCTCATTTATATGAGAAGTTGAAGCCATATAACTTAAGTCTAACCTTCAGAACTGGCCATCTGAGATTTACTGAATCCTTGATATTAGACTTTCAATTTGATTGACTAAGTTAAATCACAAATAGAATAGCTTCTATTATTAAGTGCCTTAATAGTTAGCATGAATGATAGGATGCAAAATAACAGCAATTCAGGTTGATTCAGTCCCCACATACTGCTGGTTATTAGAACTGTTACCAATCAAATATTTATCACCTAACCCGAGCATCCGTACAGTTACCTCAGATCATCTGTGATGGAGGAATGAGGTGGCAAATCACTTGTTCCACTGACAATAACACAGTCTACTGTTCCCAATTAAGCCCAGTCACCATTTTGTCCGCAGTCACCATGCTGTTCTTGGATGCTCATTTGGGAAATCATGCTGAATCATCTGGGTTTAACTGGGGATGAGACATTATTCATCTCTGGTGGTGGTGCTGATTTGAGCTAATTAGTCAGATAGGTGTTTACATGAAGCCTTGCCTGGTTCAGCTTTAAACAATCGTGTTAGTTCAACCTGTCAGACGAAAAGGGACTCAGCCCAGCGGTCGGTCCTTGGCTGCTCGCAGACGTTTCCGGAACCAGTGACACATAAATGCCAGCGGGCTGTTGCCAAGCTTGGCAAACTGCAGGGGAGTGATCATTAGCTGCCGTTTGCAAGCTGCTAAAAAAAACATTCATTATCTTAACCTTTTATCGCCTAAAGTTCTATTTGAGTCTGCTTTTTTCCACTTTAAAAGCTTCTGCTGAGCATACGCAGAGGGATTATTGAAAAGATTTAGCTCCCCCATACTGCGGTTATTCAAGGTTTTAGTCTTTACACGATAACCTCACAGTGAGTAACAACTAAGCTATGAAATGTAGAGCTGCTACAACTAGCTTAGTCACTCAAACATGTTACCGTTTGATTCCTCCAATTTAAAACCAGACACGTTCTAAAATATCAACGACTAACTTCACTTCCATCAAAACATTCATGAAGAACATGTAAAGCAGAACGGATGAGGGCAAAAGAAAGGGTGAAATATACTAGCCAAACATTTGTTTTACAAGGATATGTAGACGAAGAAGCAAAGAAAAGAAGGAAACGATATCTAAAATATCCACTTCCAACTGAAGCAAAAGAAGTGTCATTTAAAAATGTAGAATTTTCCACTCAAAAGGTATATAAATAAACCCAATTAATTTAATGTCAATCAAAGCGAGTAAAGTATTTTTAAAAAGGAAAACATTTGAAATGTCTGGCTAATAATTTGATCTGTTAAAGCTAACACTTCATACATAGAGGTAAATATCTTAAGGTTAAGCCCTAATTCTAAAACTGGATGGAAGAACGAACACACTTTATTACATGGAGGAAAGAAACGCAAGAATCTTTACTCATTATTTAACATTTTTATGTTACAGAAAGTCAGGGTGTTCCTGGGTGATGGGCTTGGAAATGGAACCTCACCGTTTTTGGCCAGCTCAGCTATGAGGTTGGCTACTTTGGGGGTGCAGGAGGACTGGGGGCTCAACAGGGTGGGGAGTAGGGTCAGAACACCCATCTCCTGGATCTTCACACTGGCCTCTGTGTCTGCAGGAGTACAATTCAGAAAGTATTAATACCATTTCAAACTGACCACATTAATCAGAGGGTTTGAGAAGCCTGACTTTGTTTACAATAGACTAAGGGCCTGTCCACGTCGGGACCTTCCCCTGAGCGACAGATTCTTTTTTTAGTTATTTTAAGTAATTGCAGGCGACGCCCAGAGAGAAAAGCGCTGCACCCATCTTTTTTTCTGAGTGCACCGGAGATTTTGTGCGGACACTGCGACTGCTTCAATTTGAAAATATTTTGACTTAACGGAAAAGCACCGGAGACGTTTGGAGAAAAAGCTTGTGCTTAATCGTGCTTTACAGACAGAAACAAACATCTTTTTTTTTGGCAGATCGGCCGGGCAGACCATGCTGCCATTGAGTGTGTGTCTTTTATCTCAAAATCAGATCTTCTTCCTCGCTCTACTGCAGTCGAATTGAGCGGTGACAAGCTAAATCATACAAAGTTTTAAAGCAAGCGTCTTATGTCAAATAAATACATAGTAGCAAAAAAAGATAATAACATCCAAGGGGGCGGTGTTAGTCTGTCATACAACAGTGGTAATACATTGTCGAAGTATTGTTGTCATAGAGAAAAGTGTTTTGCTGGGAGGAAGCTCTGCCAGAGAAAGATGTGGGCACAGGCCCTGAAAGGCTATAGAAGATATTCCAAAAGGTTATTAGGTCACGCTGTACTCACGGTTGTTGGCGAGTGCTTTCAGCAGGCAGTCCAGGCAACTGTCCACGCTGTCCGTGGCGCTGTCTTTGGACGCCAGCTTCAGCTTCTCCAAAGCGTCACTTAGGTTGTCTGAAAACAGAAACGCTTCATGAACACGGGGAGAGAACGCCATGAAAAAACTGGTGTGAAACGTAGCCCCAAAAGTAGAGCCAAATCAACCTGATCGCACAGTACGCATTTTAAACATCAATATTGCAGTCCATTATGTTCATTTCATTGTGGGACTACTGGGATAGGATCCAACCCCCTGCCACTGACAACAGAATAATGAGTAAAGAGGTGGAAGGATCAAATATCATCACAGAAATATAAAACATATGGAGTGTTAGTCATTCAAGACAATGCTTTTGATATTGATAGTCATATGCAGGCGGCAGTGGTAGGTTCTTCTCTGCTTCAATAGTATTTATTCATTTTTAAATAAAAAGTTGTCTGTATTTGACCAAAGTTTTTGTTTATGTACACATGTGTTGGGGCAACTGCGTCGCGCACATAGAAATCTTTCCTCAAATACGTCGTCAGGAGCAATTTTACTTTACGCAGACGAGTTCAACCTAGTCTTGTTCCGTTTACTCCATTATGAGGACTCACGACATCACTCTGCTCCCTGCCAGCAACCACAGAATCAAAGATTTATAACTGCTGCACATCCATCACATGCGATGAAGTCATCAATCCTGTTCCTCCTATAACCAGTCAAATAACAGATTTTCTATTTCCTCATTACATCATATGGTAGTGACTAAGTGACTGCTCCATACCTCTTCACTTGATTTATACTTGATTTACAGATTGATGTGCAATACTGATATTAACCATTCACAAAAACTAAGCTAAATATTAGGTGACAAATGCCTATAAGACATGCGTCTATAATACAGTACATGTGTTATATGTCCTAGAGAGGAGTTTGTTCACTTGCTCTGTTTTTGGATGCATTTACTCAAAGCCTCCAATCTCAGCTAAATCTGATTAGGAGTGACCTGTCGGGTTTGCTGCTGAACGCACTATAATAACTCCAGAAGCTGACACACTTCTTCCTCTATTATATTGATCGTCAATAGAGATGTGTTTTAATTATCTGTGAAGCTTGGAGTGGTAGCAATAACAGAGATGATTTTTCATCAGGTAATGAATGACAGGTTGCATAAGGAGTGCACACACCAGTGCAGTGACCTGGTTAATGCTGCCAGTTGCACTGCACACCCCACATAGATGCCTTATATCAAATGACAACAACAAAAAGCCTGGGATTAGAAATACTTCATAACCTATCAAATAAACCTGGCTCTAGATGCCATTCAGAAATACCACTGTAAATATGGGACATGGTTTAAAGATGTGAAAGATGGAGAGATGATATGTGTCAGAGATATACTACACAGGCTTCAAGTATCAATTACCAACGTCGTGTGTCCAGCATCAATACCCAGAATATGAGGTAACATCACAGAGCAGTGCAGTACTCACAGCCACATAGCGGGCTGCTCTCCTATTGCATAACAGCTGTTGGATGGAGGAGTGTCATCCACAGCACCATCAGCTCTGCCATTTCAGGGGGGGTTCATTCATTTAGTAACCAGGCCGTTTCAAGTCGCAGCAGAACTGCGTCGAGGAGGAATGATTGTAAAATGAACACATAACATGTTCCGAGGCTAACGTGGTTTAAAGGAAGAAATAATCACTATGAGCTAGGAGTGGATGGAGAAGCTACCCCACCCGAGAGCTGAGCAGACAGGCGCGAGCTCGTACGTGCACACATTTAGCAACAGTCAGCTTTTCACATGACTAATGATGGAGTAATGAATTAGAACACTATGGAGGGAAGCACCGTAGTACAGTGACAGTATGGATAGATACACAGCGTGCCCCACAAACTATACGTGTATACTGCGTGTGTTCAAACAACAGACATTTTACGGTTTTGAAGTCGTTGAATGAAATAGACTGTTCTTGTTTGCTAACTCGGCCCAGGGAGCGCTGGCTGCTAGCCGTCTACTCACCCATCTCAGCAGGATGTAGCTCCAGAAAATAACCCGGTGTGTTCTGCAGGGCAGCTGCAAACCGAGTCGTACTTTCCCGAGGCCCCGTTTCCTCCGTCCCTTGAACCGTCTAGAACTGGTGAAGTGAGCGGGGTTAGCTAGCTAGCTAGCTAGCCAGTAAGTTAGCGACAGCAGCCGCCGGGCCGGTCGGGCAGTACCGATCAGAGGGGTGCAGTGTACCGGGGACTACCAGGTTAACACATCCGACTTCCTCTGATTCCCACACCGACAGAAGACCTGCTGGCTGACGCTGCTCCGGACGAATGCCTCAGTCTGACATACCAATCAGCTAGGAGGGAGTTGGACTTCCGGTTACAAACTTCAAAATAAAAGTCTTCACGGTTTCACATCGCCGCTAGATGGCAGCCTGAGACATGTCTGAAAGCTCAGGACAGATGCTGACCAGGTATGGAGCTAATTTCCTGCCATAACTCCACAAACAAACTAAAGAGGTTTTACAAATGCCTCATGATTCACTAACAAACACAATGTGGTTTGCAAATACAAAACACCATCTACAAACTAATGCATTTAGTTTTGCAAAGAATAAACGTATCTATCAAACAAACACATAACATTTTTCTAATAAATCATGTTTCAGAGACAAATTCAGCATAGGTTTTACAAGTACACACATTTTTTTTACAACTACAACACTTTTTTTTTTCTTTTTCTTAATATTCGGCCGTGGCTGGCACATGCTCCACGGCAGCAGGGGGCCCTACTGAGTCCATTGGGGAAGGGAGCAGCATGGAACAGCCCTGATGACAGCGGTGTTTCTAGCGATCCAGCGATCTGGGTCAGTGTAAATATTATAAACAAGGTGAATTTAGCGATCACAACGAAAACAGCCAAGACACATATTGAGCCCAGAAAATGAATGTTATTAGGGCTGTAAATATAATAAGCCTTTGTCTAAAATGGACGACATTGTAACTAAGGAGATTTAAACCATACAGCGATTCTGCACTCTTCATTTTCTTTCCTGCTATATATTCAATGAGTGATACAAATATTTTTTACCATAAGTTCGGAATAAAACTGATACTGTTGGACTCGGTACTAGTTGACTGCTACCAGAAATAAAAGGAAGTACTTTACTGTGTACTTTGTGAGTAATCCTCTGTCAACGTCCCCTCCATAGTAGCCTACATAATGCATGTTTTTCTGCTATCTTTGATGAATGATAAAAATAATTTTACCATTAGTTCTTAATGA